AAAGAATACCCTGAGCAAGCCAGTGAAGATCAAAAGAGAACCATTAGACGACACACAAGTGGTTTCTTCTTGAGTGGTAATGTCTTGTACAAAAGGACTCCGGATCTCAACTTGTTATGATGTGTTGATGCCGAAGAGGCCAGAAGAATCATGTATGAAGTGCACACGGGAGTGTGCGAACCCCACATGAACGGATATGTTTTGGCAAAGAAAATCCCCCGAGCAGGTTATTACTGTATGACTATGGAAAAAGATTACTTCAATTTCGTCCGAAAATGTCATCAGTGTCAGGTGCACGATGATTTGATTCATGCACTGCCTATAGAACTGCATCCCATGTCAGCACTTTGGCCATTTGTTGCCTGGGGCATGGACGTCATTGGGCCGATTAAGCAGAAAACTTCAAATGGGCATAAGTTCATATTGGTCGCCATCGACTACTTCACAAAGTGGGTTGAAGCAATTACTCTCAAATTTGTCACCAAGAAAGCTGTGATAGACTTTGTGCACTCCAATCTCATCTGCCGTTTCGGTATTCCCGCAACTATCATTATAGATAATGCTACAAATTTGAATAGTCATTTGATGAGGGAAATATGTGAACAATTCAAGATAATGCATCGGAACTCTACTCCTTATCGGCCCAAAGCCAATGGTGTCGTCGAAGCAGCAAACTAGAACATCAAAAAGATTTTGAGAAAGATGATTCAATGCTCCAGGCAGTGGCATGAAAAGTTGCCATTTGCATTGTTGGGATATCGTACTACTGTGTGCACATTAGTCGGAGCAACCTCGTATCTTTTGGTTTATGGCATTGAAGCCGTAATACCCGTAGAAGTTGAAATCCCTTCCCTCCGGATCATTGTTGAAGCTGAAATTGAAGACAGTGAGTGGGTCAAAACTCGTCCGGAGTAGTTAACCCTGATCGATGAAAAGCGAATGGCCATAGTCTGCCACGGGCAGTTGTATCAACAAAGAATGGCCCGTGCCTACAACAAGAAAGTGCGACCTAGAAATTTTGAAGTGGGGCAACTCGTTTTAAGGCGTATTCTTCCCCATCATCAGGAAGCAAAAGGAAAGTTTGCTCCTAACTGGAAAGGCCTATACATTGTCAGAAAATTATTGCCAAAAGGGGCATTATTTCTAGGAGACATTAAAGGAAATGATCCTGACAGCTGTAAATGCAGATGCAGTCAAAGGTACTATGTAAAATCCTTCTGCAGCAATAACATTATCTGATGGGGATGACGAAGGCTTTAATTCTCGCTACCCCAAATATTCCAATCCTTTGCTAACCCTTTGAGCCGCTTACCTTTCTTTCATTACCCTCTTTGGAACTCAAGACGTTTGTAAAAAAAATATTAAAAAAAAAAAAAGAGAGAAAACAAAACAAAACAAAACAGAAAAACAAAAGAAAATCAAAAACAATGTTTCCCTGAACTATGTTCCACTTGATTCCGAAAGGATACGTAGGCAGCCTCTCTCTAGGGGTTCAGTCACACCAAAACAAAAATCCAATTTCCCCCAAGAAGTGAAACTAGGGCAGATGTTATAATTGTTCGGCGATGATTCCGCTTGAACAGTTCCAAAGTTGTAATTAGATCCAAATTCTTTTTACCCAAACCTTGTTCAAGTCTTTCCAATCAATCAGTGAAAGATTTTCGAAATCAGAGAACGCAATTGTTTGGATTTGATGCAATCAAGATGAGAGAAATAAAATGAGAGAGTCTTATTGGTGAAAACCTACGGGCACCGTAAGGCGATGGTGAGCAGAGAAACTGTAAAATGAGAGAGTCTTGTTAGTGAAAACTCGTAAAGAGAACTATAAGGCGATGGTGAAAAGAGAAATGAGAGAGGTCGATTGGCGAAAACCCGCAAAGGGTGTCGTTGATCAAAAATAAAAAAACCCTCACCACCATTGGCACTGAAAGAGTCCTGGAAAGGTTTCTCAGTTGTAAAACACGGGTCACAATGGGTTTATGAGAATTTGGATAGTTGTGCAGATCGGGTATCCAGTCCAAGAAGCATGTCATGTCTATTGAAGTCTACATGCACTCCAGATAAGTCCTTCTTTACTCCCCGAAAGGGACACTTCTCCTTAAATTCACTTTCTTGTCCTTTGTTTACCTTTTTTTGAATCCCTTTCGGTTAACTTTGTTCCGAAACTAATACAATGAAAAGGTGGCAAGATTGGTTTTATAGGGTTCTGCTTAATAAAAGCCAAGTCCAAAGAAAAGTACCCAACCTTAGCGGATGCATCAAGTCGATCCCGACTGGCCATGATAGCCAATGCTCTGAAATCAGAGTTATTGAAAATGAAAAGAAGTCCAAAATCAAAAGCCCCTAGAGGCAGAATAAGCTGAAAGAGCCAAAGCCCCACACGGTTGAACCGTCATCTCGAATGTTTGGAAAGTTGAGTTCCTCGGTTTTAATAGAGAGATCAATCTTCAGAAAAGCCAGCAAGCAGTAGAGGTTCTCGCCAAAATAGTTGGGCCGAGATCAAGTGATCAAAAACAATCAAGGCCACAAAACCAACCACCATTTCAAACTAACAATTGTCCTTTGTTTGAAAAATTGAAACATGTGCAATCCAAAGCAACCGTGCAAGAAGCAGGTGCAATCAAAAAGGAAAAGAAATGCGCAAGTTCTAGAAACAGCTTTGAAGCAATAATCAATCCAAAAGGGAAGTCTCCTCCAAATTCTTTCCTGCATTTAAAAAAAATGAAAAATGAAAAAATAAAATGAAATGAAAAAAAAGGGAGATAAGAAGAAAATTCAAACAAAAATGGTAGTTCAGAATCCCCAATCTCAATCTTTTACGCTTTTCCAACATAGGGCTCCAATCCCTAGTTGAGATTTTAGACATAGGGCCTCCATTCCTTAGTCGCCTTTTTCCAACATAGGGCTCCAATCCCTAGTTGAGATTATTTTTAGACATAGGGCCTCCATTCCTTAGTCGCCTTTTTCCAACATAGGGCTCCAATCCTTAGTTGAGATTTTTTAGACATAGGGCCTCCATTCCCTAGTCGCCTTTGGCCAACATAGGGCTCCAATCTATAGTTGAGATTTTTTTAGACATAGGGCCTCCATTCCCTAGTCACCTTTTGCTAACATAGGGCTCCAATCCCTAGTTGAGATTTTTTTAGACATAGGACCTCCATTCCCTAGTCGCCTTTTACCAACATAGGGCTCCAATCCCTAGTTGAGATTTTTTTAGACATAGGGCCTCCATTCCCTAGTCGCCTTTTACCAACATAGGGCTCCAATCCCTAGTTGAGATTTTTTAGACATAGGGCCTCCATTCTCTAGTCGCCTTTTACCAACATAGGGCGTCAATCCCTGATTGAGATTTTTAGACATAGGGCCTCCATTCCCTAGTCGCCTTTTGCCAACATAGGGCTCCAATCCCTAGTTGAGAATTTTAGACACAGGGCCTCCATTCCCTAGTCGCCTTTTGCCAACATAGGACTTCATCCCTAGTTGAGAATTTTTAGACATAAGGCTTCTATTCCCTAGTCGCCTTTTGCCAACATAGGGCTCCAATCCCTAGTTGAGATTTTTAGATATAGAGCTTCATTCCCTAATCTCTTTATCCTAAAGACACACGATCCTTGTTTTATTGCTTTCAATAGAGAATAATGTAGATTTTAGTTACAAATAACTTACCAAATTTTCCTAGTGAAAACTGGGGCAGAAAAATTTTATTCGTTTGATTGTTTTGGTATCTGAGCAGGTTTTACCTCAAGACACAGGGTTCGAGATGACCAAAAGAATGAATCTCAATCCAAAATAAAGAAAAGAAGAAAAAGAACAAAAAGAATTGAACTCAAAGTGCTGAAGTGGAGAAGGATGCGGACTACTGAAGATGTGATTGAAGTCACAAGTTTCGTGTGTTCCACCTTAATCCAAAGCTGAAGGATGAACCAGCGATTTACAACTAACGAGCATCAAGATTCAGATCGGAGTCTGCAGCAAGAACCTGCCAAGACTCAAGATCAAGCTTCAAGAGATTTATAGATAGGAATCTTGTAACTCGTAGCTGATAGGTTTGGCTAGTTTAGCTTTTTACTTTTTGGTGTAATAAGGAGTTCAGCAAGCAGTAGCAGCGACAGCAACAGTGAAATCACAGCTTCCCGGTAGTCTCAGCTACTAAAACTTCCAGAACTATACTGACCTGATTCCTTTATAGCCAAGGATATGTAGGCAACCTCTGAAGCAAGATTCGGTCAGGCTCTTTTCAAAAATGCTTCTCATGGAGTTTCAAACGGGCAAAAATCCCTCATAATTGCTCATTTTTTCTTTGCCTGAAAACCCTTCATATCTCCGAGCAAAGAGGGGCAGCTGTGAGCACGTGATTTTTGCCTCACATGAATTACTCCTACAGAATTCTAAAGAATTAGATCTTTCTTTTAATTATTTGTTCTTTAGGAATTATTGTAGAGTTTTTCTAATTATTTGCATTTTTTGTGTGCATGTTTAATTTTATTTAATTCATGAAAAAAATTCAAAAATACATTGCATTTGCATGACTTAATTTTACATTTTAGATTAATTAGTAAATTAGTTGTTTTAAAAAAATAAAAAAATCACAAAAATAGTTCATTTTTATATTTTTTATCTTTTAATTTAAGTTTATTGATTTTCCTCTTTTAATAAAAAATTAAGTGATGATTACAATATTTATAATTAGTTAATTACTTCAATTTCACATTTTAGATAATTTAGAATTTTTAATTAAAAAAAGAAAAGAAAAGAAAAGGAATTTTGAAATAAAGGAAGAATTGGGAAAGAATTGAATTTGGGCCATCTATAATTACCCAAGTTGGCCCAAAATTCCCCCTATACACAATGAATACCTTCAGCCCAAATGACCATTTCCACCGATTCAACCCAACAAAAACTAGACCAACCCGTTTATTTGACCCGCCCGTTTCCCCTAGTATATAACCCCACTTATAACATTTCCCCCAAATTCTCCAAACCCTAGAGAAATCAGAGAAACGACGCCTCACCCTATTCCTTCATCTTCTTCCTCCTTGACTCTCCTTAACTCGCCTGAGTTTCGAGCGAGCTCACTCAAAAAGGTCCTCCCCCCCCTCTACATCATTTGAGTCCTAACGGATTTGTCAGAGAGGAGTATGAATTTTCTCTCCCAAATCGCACGATTTTGGGTGCAAAAAGGACAATTGCTGGATGAATGGGAGCCGTGGATAGATGTGAATCAATCCACGCCCTCCATTTGTCCCAAAATTGTTCAAAGACTTGAGGAATTTTTCGGATTTTTGGGCAGATATTTTGAAGATTTTGAAGACTATATATATGAGGTGAGTCCTATGTGCTAAAAAAAGAGAAAAAAAGAGAAAAAATCGAAGAAAAATCTTCAGAAAAAAGTTAGTCGAGTAAAATTTTTAGGGTTGAAGTCATCACTTTTCTTGAAGGTTTTTCTTAGTCTGTTTCTTTTTTTTTTTCAGAAAAGATACAAAAAGAAAAAAAGAAAACAAATGGCTGGAGTTCAGATTTCATTCGAGTTTTTTTTAAGAGAAAAAAAAGAGGCTACTGAAACAGATATCCTTTTAGCCTTGGTTCATTTCTTGATTTCTGGTTCTAAAAGGAAGTTTTGGATTAAATTTCAAGTTGAAGTTTGTGGCTGGGATTCTGAATTTCTGGGCTCTATTGATTCTGTCCGAGTTGGTCTTTCGCAATTTCAATTTGGCTACAGTTTCTGCTCAACTTTGTTGTCGCATTTCTTTGTATTCGACTCCGAGAATTAATTGAAACATTTCGCATTCAGGTTAGCCTCCTATCTTTTTCTATCTCTACTATTATTCATGTTGAATTTAAACCTAAGTGATAGCAGAATTTTTTTTATTTCCTCCCCTGTTACTTTATGTCATAATACATGTTGCCCTTTTCTTTATGTTTGTCTGATGGGTTCGTGCATGGTTTGATTGATTTGAAGGTGTTCTCTCTTTTAGTCTATGTAAATAAATGATGCCTACCATCGAAATCTGCAAATGTAATTGCTATGTTTTTCATTTTTTTTTTGGAAAAAAACTGACTTGTGACGAGCTTAGATTGGGTTAACACTTCAGTTCTTCTAATTAATTCCCATACAGCACTTTATGCTGATTAAATTTCTGGAATTTAAAAGATGATTTCTTGGGTAGTGCGAGTTAAATCCTTGGTCAGCCCTGTTGTGGCCTTTCTAAGTGGAAAAAATAGACTTACTATGTTTGCTCAGAACTAATGCATTACCACTGTGATTTTCTGATTAATTAAGGGGGTCTTGAATTGGATCTTCATCTATTTATGTGAGTTGAATATGTTTGCCCATTTTTTTAAGGCTGAGACTTAATTTCGTTTGAATTAGTTGAGTGCCATTCTTTTAGAAGGAAGTTCTATGGCATGTTAACCTTTAGCTGAGTGTCTGCCAGATTTCGTTGATAAAAATGAGTTCCATTGGTGAATTTGCAAATTTCAAAAATAATGTCCATAAGAACATGAATTTAAGATTTTGTTAAGTGGTCATCTTGTGTAAATCAACAGTGTCAAATGTGTTCCACATTCAAGGTCACAATCTCTCATTTGATTTCTCATTTTGCAGTATGAGTTAAAGTTTATGGTGATAACCTTTTGTCTTGTGCAATTTTAAAATTCTCGCCGTATATAAATTATATGTCTATCCTCTATTTGTTATTCTTGTCTCCCATATTAATTAAGTCTCTATTGCTATTAAATTGTTTCAAGAATATACGGATATGATAATTCCAGGCCATCAGATTTAATTTACTGCTAATTCACAAAATGTGCATTGGTGAAGCTCAATTCCATGGCCTGTCACGTTCAACTTTTCTTGTCCTTTATTACTAAGGCCTTTGATTTTTTATATTAAATCGTGTGAGTGCAATTTTCATGCTCAATTCCTGAATAATCAAAGCACCTCTCCATGCTACGTTGAACGTTTGTTTTTGTCTTTAGACCAAATGCTGGAAATATTCATCACATGAGTCCCTTTTGAGAAGCTTAGAAAATAATTCATGAACAACCGTAGTCGCTTTAGGAGCGTAGATAAATTATTACAACTACGGGTACGACTCCCGTGGCGTAGTTGTGATAATTAGCTTTAAATTAGTTTTAAAGTAAGAGTACCTTTAATTTGCCTTTAATATATATATATAAACCTTTTTTTTTTAAACTTGAGGTGTGCCATGCTTTGAATCTATAACACATGGCCCTCACAAATTTAGATCAAATAATTTGGGGTGTGCCATACACAAATAAAATCCTTTAATTTATGGCCCTCCTATAAATACAAAATTAGCTTAGAAATGCCTTGAACCTTCGTAGTTTGCTTTAGGCGCATTAATTAATTAATTGTCATAGCTACGGGTACAATTCCGGTGACGTAGTTGTGATGCCTAATTACTAAAATCTGGGGATACATTTATGTGATCCGGCAATAATTTATTCTTTAAAAATTAAACGTGTTGTAGATCGTGGGCACGGTTCCCGTGACATGATTTGCAATATGTAACAATAACTATTAAAAGTGGTTAATAAGGAAATTGAACCATAGGCTAAAACATGTATTAAAATCAGATAATAGGCCAACTATAATAATTTAAGCGACCGTGCTAGAACCACGGAACCCGGGAATGCCTAACACCTTCTCCCGGGTTAACAGAATTTCTTAATTAGAATTTCTGGTTCACAAACTTCAAAATGAAGGTCGAATTTCCTCGATTTTGGATTTTAAAATAAACTGGTGACTTGGGACACCAAATAAACTATCCCAAGTGGCGACTCTGATAAATAAATAATCTCATTTCGAATAATGTCACTTAAATTGAAAAAACTCCCATATGCCCTTGGGTGTGTAAAAAGGAGATATGACACTAATTATATAAACTACAATGCGCAATTAAACTAGAATAAGCTAAGAATAAACTACTGCGAGTTGTTCTAATGGTTAAAAGGCACTAGGGTAGTGACTTTCGCCTAGGTGGTCAATTGACAGATACTTGAGTCTAAGGCATGATTGACACATTTGGGGAGTATGATATAACCGTTGCACGATTCTACCCACTCTACACCTCTCAGTGGTTCGAGTGATTTTGCCCGAATTGACTTTCTCAAGACCAATTAGGTATGCATATTTGCACAAGCAAAAAAGGTTCAAGTCGGGTATTACTATCTCTAGATTTAACCCTTTAATTTGGGGCTATCAATCTATTGAGTACGCCCCAATTCCTAGTTGGACCAATTTCAGAGACTTAGGTTCTCTTTCTCAAGAAGAGCCAAAGTCAACTAAATACAAACTAGTGATTGCAACCACTAATTCAGCAATTAAATATGAAATTAGTCCAAATATCAAACACACATAGACAATCAAGCATCAAAACACAAGACCCATCAATGACTCACACTAGGGTTGAGCCACAACCCTAGCTTATGAGTCTAGCTACTCATAATTGAAGAAGAAAACAAAGAAATAGATGAAAAAAAAACTTATATTAATTAATTGCTAAGATAAACTAGAAGATTCAATATTGAAATGAAGCTAAAATTGCCCAAAATAGCTAAAGAAATGGAGGTCACGAGCGCAGCTCAGTACAAAAACTATCTGATGACCTAAAAATGGGAAAAGAAGCTATTTATACTAAGATGAAAAATCTGGACAAAAATACCCCTGTGGGGCTAGTGCGGACCGCACAAAATCACGTGCGACCGCACTAGGGCTCTGAACTTGAAAATCCAACTCTCTGAACTCGGGCAATGCGGACCGCAAAGAATCGAGTGTGGCTGCGGTGGCTTCTAGTGCAGTCCGCCTGAAATGGACTGCGGACCGCATTGGCTTCAATCTCCAAACTGGCACTTCTCTGATCCTTGGTTCTGCGGACCGCACTAAATCGAGTGTCGCCACAGTGACTCCGATGCGAACCGCATTAAATCTCATGCGACCGCATTGCCTGTTGTCCTGGAAATCAACCTCTCTGAACCTCACTTGTGCGGACCGCACAGAATGGTGTGCGGTCACATTGGGCCTGTTTTGCCTGAGCTTTGTCTTGTCTTGGTACTTGTGAAAGTTTTACTCCTTTTTAGTTGATATTTGACATCTTGTCACTTTGTTGATCAAACCTGCAATCAAGCACAACTTGTGAGCTTTTTGGGACTATTTTGTACAAATTTCTAATCAAAATATAAGCAAGAAGGAGTATAAAATGTATTAAAATCCCTAGTTATCAACTCCCCCAAACTTAAGCTTTTACTTGTCCTCAAGCAAACAAAATAAGACTCACCCCTTAAGGAATATTCCAAGAAAATTTAGTTGTCCTAAAGTGCCCTCATCTAACATCAATTGGGACTAACAATTGCCCTAAATACAAATGAATCATTAACAACATTTACTCTTTAAAACAATATGGATTAAGTGCGACACAAGAGCATCAAGAGTTGACTCAACACATCAAAGAACTCTTTCTATTACTTTGGTCATTGTGGAACCCAAAGTCACACATCCTCAACTCTCCCTAAGCAAACCTCACCTTTATAATATTGGCACTCAGAACGAGGTTAATGGAAAATCACTCATCTCTCTCAAGGAAAAGTTACAAGTTCGGCTCTAAGTATCATATGCTTGGCCCTTATGTGAGTCACCACTAATGTAAGTTTCATTCAACTCAAGATCATATAGGGCTTTTGTGGAGACATAGTGAAGGCTTTTAGTTTAGGGTAGGTAATGTTTGGTCTAAGTAGGTTCCATCTTCCTTTAACACTTCTTTTGTTTCATTTTGGCTCAAATTCATTTGACATTTTGAGTCTTTTCACTTCTTTCTAAGGGGTTAGAGAGATATACTGTCACTCTTTCTACATTTCAAATCTTTTCTCCTTTCTCAACTTTCCACACCCTTCATTCTTTGCTTTTCTTGAATCCCTTTTTATTCAATTATACCTTGAGCATTCTTTTTGTCTTTTTGCTTTTCTTTCTTTTTCACTACCTTTCCTTTTCTTTATTTTGTGCATTTTTACCACTTTGTTGTCATCCTCGTCTCTCCCCCCAAACTTATACTTTTTTCATGTGCTAAGGAAAGATTGGGTGCCAAGTGAGGGTATCTTTTAGAACGGGTAAAGGCGTGTATCATGGTTCTTGAAGGAAAAAGGTCTAAGTCTCAAAAGGGTTGACTATGGATTTTATCATTGGTAGGCTAAGGAAGTGTTCAAGCTATCATTTGTATTAAGGAGAGCCTATAATCATGTCTCAAGTCAAAATTCACTCAGGATTTCGCTTCAACAAATATTCAGGGAAAGTTCTAGACCAATGGCTCGGGACTTGGACTTGCAATGCTATTTTTCACCACACAAGCTATGGGATCACTAAAGACATAGAGTCGGGGGCCCACAATGACCTTAGATAAGATTTGAGCACACAATGGTCCCGAAAAACCACTTGATGATTATCGGTCAACATAAGAGTCTCAAGGTCACGACTTTCACCATCATAAACACAACAATTTATTTTTGACCATAAGATCAAAGGCAAATGTGCTAGGCCCAAGTGAAGCTTTGCTTGAGGTACCCTTACCACTAACTACTAAAAAGAAAAAAGAAAAACAGACTCAAACCCTTAAGAAGGTTGTCATGCCATCCATCATTGGGAAGAGCCACCCGGTTCACACAAACTCCACCTTTGGAAAGAACCATGGCATTAAGAAAACAAAAGGCTTATTGCAAACGTTCAGAACAAGAAGCTACGAACATAAATAAGAAGCTAAGAAATAAAAATTGCGGAAAGTAAAATGAATATATACAAGAGGGGATTTAATAGAATATACAATAGATGGGATGAATATGTACAATGTAACATAACTTTAT